GGGGGGAGAGACTAAAGAGGCCTCTCTTGCTGGCTTGATTTCTTTTTAATCCAGTGTAATCTGTGTAAAATTGCAACATATTTTTCTGTAATTCGAGCAAGGCTCTTATAATTGTTTTAGGGAGCAAGAATACTTTCATTTAGACACACTAAGGACGCTGATAGCATTTGAGAAGAAACCAGTTATGTACACAAACCCTGGAGAACTTGGTGCGATGGCACCAGGCCCAGCGTAGGTACAGTAGGCATACTGGGGGGGTTCATGCCTTCGGGGATTTCAGCCCCTGTGTTAATGAGCTCTTTAGTTTTATTAAATTATGTAGATATGTTAAAGAGGAGAGCATTTGTTCCTGTTTGACTTGTTTCATTTTTGGAAATGTGCTCTGGGACCTATCACAGAACTGGAGAGCAGGAGACGTATTTTAATTTTAAATTCAGAGCAATTGGTAGTTGAAGAGAATGTGGGTTTTTTTAAAAAATTTTATTTTGTCTCGATTTTTAAACGAAAAAAATCTCGAAACAGCTAATGTAAATGCAGAGGGCATGTTTTCAGAATCGACCGCTACAGCTTTAAGATAAGGTGCCCGGGCGCCCTCCTCGCGCGCACCCGATCGATGTGGAGCAGGCTCCTACCGTGAGCTTCGCTTTTTTTTTTCTTTATCTGTTGCGTATGCCCGTCGCTGCGGAGCGTGTAGCGTTAGAATGCTTTACCACACTCAAATAGTTTTCCACCTAATTGAGCTTTTTCCCTGTGTGTTTTTTTTTTTTTTCCCCTCCTTCCTCCCCTCCCCGAAATCCACCAAAACTGAAGAAAAATCCAAGTGACTGTTGCTAGCAGCTGTGTGGCCTGGCGTTCAGTGGGGAAGCTGGCTTCCTGCAGTCCCTATTCATCACCTGCTTCAAAGGCAGCCGGGCCGCCTATAGAGCGCGGGCCAGGTAGGGTGCCATTGTGCGCAGCCTGGGAGGATTAGTATCAAAGCTGCGGCGCCCAGGCCCTTGGTCTCGGGCTGCCATTCAGGCTGGCGGGGAGAGGCTCAGGCTGGCCAAGGTCACAGCGTCCAGTGCGGCGCGCACTGGGAAAGGACCCTGAGAATAGAGCGCTTTTTATGAAATCGTGGCGCAAGCTTGCGGCACAGCAGGTGCCCTTCTGGAGCACATACATCTGTTTGTGTTGGGATACCGTAGCTGACAACGGGATAATGCAGCTTTGCTTTTTTATAATTTTGGTGTTTTTTTTTTTTTTTAAAAAAAAGCAACTGTATATGCGATAACGTTGATGAATATTGAAGTAAGAGCTTTTATTTGGGAAATCGTAAAGAAATCGTTGAACGGTTTGATTGCTGGTGGGGGGGTTGTGCGTGTATACTTAAGCGAAGAAGAGAGCAGACTGACTATTAACCATTTAGAAACCTTAGCTGGGCTGATTAGCAACAGCAGGATACGTGGGGGACGTACACAGAATGCGACAATGCAATTTTTTTTAACGCGCCGACATTTGTACCCACAATTTGGTTAAGGATGCGCTGGATTTGCTTAAGTTGCCTTCGCCATTGAAATTGTCCGAAGGAATTGTGTCATGCCAAAGGTAGCTTTTAAAAGGTGAGGTAAGAGTGACGTAAAAATAAAATTGCCAACTTGATGAAATTAAAGGGAAAATTAAGCTGTAGACGAGTTGTCATGACGACAAGGATGTTCTATTGATGAACTGTACTCCTCGCTGCCCAATCAGATGGTGGAGCTGAAGCTGGAGCATGAACAGGAGAAGACGCACCTATTCCAGCAGCACAACACAGAGAAGGATTGCCTGGTCCGAGATCACGAACGGGAAATTGAAAAACTGGAAAAGCAGCTCCGTGCTGCCATGACAGAGCACGAGAATAAAACTCAAGAATGCCGGAAACGCGATGCACAGGTAATAAGCAATGATGTTGGGAAAGCGTATGCTTATTAAAAAACGGGGACTATTAGTGTTTCCTGTTTTCCAGCCTGGTTGATAATGCACGCTGTTTGATCATTTGCGAAAGTGACACACAAACGTGATTTTGTTTTTTCTTTTTTTCCTTCTTTTTTCTTCTTTTCCGCTTTCCCCCTCCTTCTCCACTGCTGAATAGGGCTTTAACTGCAAAAACCACAGGTAGCCAGATTAAAAATCCCATGGTGCGCTATAACTCGGCCTATTTATAATCTTGTCTCATTTTCTTTCATGATGGATTTGTTTAAGAAAAAAGGTATCTGTTCTCTCTTCCCCCCCCCAGCCCTCACACTCGCCCCCTCCTTTTCTCCTTCCTGGGCAAATCCATATGAATTATATCTGCTTCGCTCGTATGCTTTTTTTTTGTTTTAAAGCTCTGCAGGTAACTCGCAAATGGCTTCATTTCATTTTTTCCATGTCTTTCTGTTTCAGCTTTATATTCGAGATTTGTATTGTGTGTTTGACTCACGTATGTCAGATAGATGATAAGATGATTTGGATTTGGGGTTGCTTACCATCAGGTTTATTTTCCTGCACACACGCACCCCTCCCATCCTCCATCTCTGTGGTCACTGTTGGAAGCCATTTGGCAGAATAACCCCCAGCTGGGGTAGCATTTGACTCTTCAAACTTCTGGATAAAATGTGCACTGTCAGCATGGAAAATGATCTTTATTAGTTTTCAGCTGAAAAAAAAAAAATCTTACTGCATTTTTTCCAATATATTTTGTAAGGAAGGCATGGTGTATTTTCCTAAGAGCCTATATTAAAAAGGCCTGCAATAGCAACACTTAAAAATTTTAGGTGATTTCATAGCTTAAAGAGTATTCAGCAAATCTTTACTAATCAACATTAGAATTACTAATCGTGCATGGATTATTTTATACCACAACAGGACATTTTGGTAAGGCATCTTTAACTACATATGTTTTCCGCGCGCCGCCACCTTCCCTACGTGAGGCAAGACTCTGGCATTTAGGCGTTTTCACTTTACTTCCCTGTAGACTAGGTAGCCTGCATCTTTTACTGAGAGCTGTAATGTAGCTAAGTGGAACTGAAGATTTAATTTTTAAATTTTTTTGTTTCCTTTCGGAGGACTCGAACTGTATCAAAATTTGCCTTAAGAAAATCTGCTGGAAAACAAAGCGCTTGTTGGGGGAGAATGGGGGATATAGTGCAGAACGAGGACATATTTCTCCATTTCCACCATTATGGTTTTCCAAGGAAAAGGAGAGACTTTTGTGAGAACGCTTGGGAAGAGGATATTCAGGTGGCTTCTGAAGAATTAAACCTTAATTTTATTGTAAGAATGAGCAATGACTTAATTAAAGGGTTTATTTTTTATCTTTAGATTTTTTTCCTTTGGCCTAAGGTAGATGTACCTTAACTATATAGCTATTTGCAAGCATCTTTTCAAAGTTGTATCTTCTCACCTACGTGCCAGATGTGTTTGTCTGCACACAAAGGCAGATAAGTATTTGTAGTATTTGGGGTAAAAAACAATTATGCAGAGTTATTCTGTGTGCACACTATCATTCCTTACAGTTATTGAATTATTTTGTGTAACAGTGAATGTAGACATAATAGGAATAGCTCAAGGAAATTCGGAGGGTTTGAGAGATGTCCTGTAAGTTTATCTATCTATTTCTGTTGTGTCTCATTTCTGGCACTGATTGGAGCACAAAGTTTGGGAGTGCTTTCTATTTACAATGATGGGATATGTAGTGCTACTACAGCTGTTATGTAAAGGCACTGGAAATTATCATAGCTATTATGAAATCCGAATAGCAAAAATGTTGGCCTTTTACATGGCTTTTCTTCCTACTTTGAATATCCCTGTACAGTCATTTAAGCGTTGCTGCCATGAGAGCGACATGTAAATCAGGGAAGAAAGTGCATTTGCCGCTGACTAGAAGAGCTCTTGTTAATTTAACTTTTAATAATAATCTGTCTACTTTCAAGATGACTTATTTTCCAAAGCGCCCCCCCCCCAAAAAAAAAATCATTCTTTTTTCCTGTATCTGCACTAGAATTCCTTTTTGTCTTTGCAGTGAGCTTAGTAGGCAATACCACTGTCTCCTACGGAATTATGGCACATTTTTAGTAACACATTTAAGCTTTGCGTATGTTTTCCAAAATGCATATTTTGGAAATCTAATAGGACTAACGGCCAGTGTCTTTTAGGAACTATTCAGTGCATCTCTACTTATGTGGGCATAGCTTTTTTTAAAAAATGTTAACAGTGAAACCCCTTTGACAATAGTAATTTTTAGGACTTCTTTATATTACAGTGAAAATGCTTTGAGAACATAGAAGAGGCCATTTCGCTTTGCTAAATGGAAAGTAGAATTGCTAGGTATTTCATAGAATTTAAATAATAGTCGGCATTAATCACATACAAGTAGTTCGTTCTAGTGTGAAGGACGTATCTGTTCAATGTTTGGGTAATGTGAAAGCACTGGTATCAGAGGTGTTTACTGTTATTCTTTCTTAAATTGTTTTCCGTGTGAAAAGAGTAGCGAACGTTTAAAATACATATTTTTGCTATACCACCAAAGATGGTTGTGGCCAAGTACTACAGAACAATTCATTATGTTGTTAATGAAGAGGGTTATTTGTGGGGTTGTATTTTTTGGTTTTTTGTTTGTTTGTTTTTTTAATTGCATAGCCAAGGTCTCTACATGCATGTAGGTCTTCAGCTATTGTAAAAGATGGTATACAAAACCATTACCTGCTTTTCAAATATGAATATATATACTAATGCTTTACTCAGCTGAAGCATAAAATTTTAGATGTCAGTACTTCACTAGATTTTAAATAAGGATAAAATAATGTTACTATTTCTTTGCAACATAAGTTGAATATATTTTTAGCGAAAGGGACTTGATTTAAGTGGATCACCTTTTGTATTGCTGATCAATTTGGGGATAACAGTTGTATTCCACTTTAGCTCTTGGATTTATCTATTTCTAGGAGACTTTGATTTTTTTTTTCCCCCCCTTCCCCTCCCATCCACCTAAGGTTGTAATGCTTGAGGAGGAGTAAATTGACATGTAGGTCAATAAAAGTCAAAGCAGTACAAAGGCTTTTATACCATGCTGTGTTCTTACAGTCTTTTAAATGCTATACGTTTTCAGTGAACTACTATAATATTGCTATTGTTTAAATAGTAAATAATACAAGATTTGTTTTAAATCACTACTTCTATTTTAATTTAGATTTTGAATATTATCTGAATGTTCTTTAAGAACACTGTAAGCTATCGTTTGGTCTTTCCTTCCCCATCTCCCTAAACAACTTCAGCGCTTACGTTATTTCACCAAACAGTGAATTCATTGTGTGATAGAGAAATTCCTCGTTTTAATGAAAACAGGCTTGGTACTGAATTTCAGATTTTTCTAAAGCAAGACTGCTGATTACAGAAAATAATATTTCTGACTTGTTTCTGTGAAATAAGATAGCAAGGTGAGGAAATGCGAACGTCCGACGCCAGCCAGGCTGTAGTAGGTGTGCCAGCTGCGCCCTTGTGCTTTATCCTGGGAACGTCACTCCTTCCCCAGCAGCTGACGTGTGCCCTGAACCAGCTCAAGGATTGTGGTGCTCCAGCTGCTCTATACAGTTAGCTCGTTTTTACGCTTGTTCTTTGACCATTGACCTTTGGAGAAGAAGAGGAGAAATGTACCCCTCTGATATCAAACATAGTGCTTTCCACTAAAGCAGGAGGAAAGAAGTTTCTATGAGGAAACTGAATTCTTTTTCCAGGTTGTGTTACAAGGTAATTGGCAAATCCACTATTTTCATCCATTCAGAACTGGGTCAGGAATAACTCAAACACTGAGGCGCAGTTTGTCAGTTTTTGTCACTGATGTCACAGTATTTAACGTTAACATATACTGTTTATGCTCTCAAATGCTAGGCTGCTTTTAGAAAAGGTCGTTGATGTTCAAGGATGTCTTAAAGCTCTAGATAATCCATTACCAGTTGGAAAAAGAAAACCTCAGTCAATTCTAAAGTTGTGCAGAGACACACTTTGAGAATGAAAGCTATTGTAAAAAAGGAATGGGCTGGAGTTGGTGAGAACAGTTAATAAGATATTTCCCTTGGCCTAAATATCTGTTTCCATTTTTCCCATCTTGCTTTTTGCACTTCCTATAATCTCTTATGCCCTTACCATCCCATTTTGTTGTACAAATTTGCAGCCCTTCCCTGGAGCCTGCTGTATGGAGCATCCTCTCACATTTTTTCTGGGACTCGCTCTCTTTAAAAATGTGCTGCTTTAGACTTGTATCCAGTGATCTTTCTGCAACTGTTGCTTTGTACTTTGTTTTGTCTGAATTAATTAGGAGCTGTTTGAGCTGATAAAAAGTTGATAAAAAGTAATGATTGTTATTTCCATTCCAGCAAATCTTTGGTACATTTATGGTTCTGTATAGGTAATGATCATATCAACCGAGTGGGGGGAACGGAAGAGATGTATCTTGCCTCCACATATATAGTCGGTCTGAAATGGTTCCACACTGATGTGTTTCTCTGGAGATCTTGTAGCAACTATCAACAAGAGAAAATACAGAAAATGTCTTAATTAGAAATATTTTATGCTTGTTTAATAATAATTAAAATACTCCACATGTACAATTTCTATATTATAAACAAATAATGCTCTTAACACTAACTCTTCAGTATGGTACTAATACAGGAGCCATGTAAGAGCATTTGTTTTATAACAGAAACTTTCTCAAACTTTGACCTGTGAAGCACCTATTGTTAACGTCCACATAAATCACTGGTGTCATCTCTTTTACTTCATGTAATTCTTCTCGTACGCCCCAGTACCAGCTTCCACAGAGATGCTCTTCCAGGGTCAGGGGAACCAGTTTGCATGATTGTGTCTGGAGGCTGCAGGCACATGTAGCCTGTGAAACATTCAAATGTTGATCATGC